TCCTCTAGTGACTTTTTTTCAGGAATGCAGTGCTCTCTCAAGATTCATTAATCCTGTGGGAGGCAACATGTTACCATATGTTTTCTTCTTGTTCATTTCAGAAAATGTGATGTCATCAGTCGAGGTTTTGCCGGCTACAACGCATCTTGGTGTAATGCAATTCTTCCTGAATTGATAACAAAAGAAATGGTCGGGTCTATCGCAGTATTGACTCTGTTCTTTGGTACCAATGATTCGGTCATGGAGGGCTACAAGCAGCATGTTCCGTTAGACGACTTTAAGGCAAAAATGAAGGTATTAAGTTGCTCATTACATCATCTGATCTGCCAATTGTGGCGGGTTTTGCAATCGAAAGTTCCCAAATTATGCCCTGTCTGACACTCCATATCAAGAGACTTCACTGAAAACATCAGAAAAGGTACAATGAACATTAATTAGGATAATTAGGTTAAGCCCAAATTAGAGATTGTATACATGTATAGCGCAAGCTCATTGGAGCTCAGCGAAAGACACAACAGTTCATCAGAGCTCCACGGAAACCACTGGTTTGATTTCGGTCAGTTCCGTAAATCAGCTTCTATGTGTCAATATTAAATTGAGATAAAACAATTTGGTATTGAGGTAGTTTTCATCAAAATCTAATATTTTCTGGTCTCTCATAGGAAATGTTGCAGTATCTACTATCTATTGGTTTGGCGAATGAAAAGATTGTGATTATCACTCCGCCACGTGTAAATGAGACTGCTTGGGAGAAAGAATGTAAAAGACATTTAGGTACAATAACATCTATCTGCAATTGACCCCCCCCCCCCTCCAAAAAAATAATTAGTTTTATGTCATTGCATGTCGGTTAAAAATGCAATGTAATATTGTAAAAATGAAATAAAAAACAGCAAAAAACATGCCATATTTTAGCTCCACTGTCAAAGTCAAGCAGAGCTGTTCATATTTCTTATTATCCGATTTTGACCTTAACCATTTCTTCACCACCAGACTTTCTCTCCCAAATTATTTTGCACTTTTTCTTGTATTCTTCATTATTTCCGAAAATGAACCTTAATTTTGGAGCCAATAGACAAAATTGGAGGAAATTTTCAGTTTTGTCTTAAAAAATATGGTTTTCATATTCACTAAAAACTTGGATGGTTCTTCTTTAGTTAGTTAACTTGACTGTTTTGATATTTTTTATGTAATGTTTTGATGATTTTTCAATCCATCTTCTTCTCTACTGTTGATCTGATTAAGTCATACTATGCATCAAAACAGCTGAATGGAGACTGTTTGTTCGTTCCAATTTGGAAGAAGACCAAAAACTAGAACATCTTTGTGCTAATTTCTGTAAATGCATTGTCTCCTCTATCTTGGACATGTATGGACCAATCACATTCAAACAAATAGCAGACATTTTTGTGATAAAAATTCAGCAAAATTGAGCATTTCTGTCATTTTGGATCCAGATCTCAGTCATATACAAACATCATGGCAAACTGGTGGCCATTTTGTTTTAATGAATGCAGTTCTGAAGCCATATGTTCGATATAGGCTTTGACTGTTAAACTTCATATGTCTCTTTAACTTAACAACTCACTGAGAATATGTAAATCTCAGAACCGGAAACAAGTTCAGATTTCTCTGTTCCTGTATTACAATATATTATGATAATTCAACATCACATTTCACTTTTACTTGTGATATTTTATTATTGAGTTATCATCAACTATAATATTATTTTTTGAAAATCTTAGGGAATTTGAATATACTGTGTTTCTCATTCTGAATTCTGTGTTTTTCTTTGTCACAAAAATCGATTGCAATTTATAGTGTCAAAATTGTATTATGACTTTCTGGCATTTTTTTGTAAGTTATTTATGATGGTGCAGATTTTACGGTAAGATATGACTATTTTTTTTCTTAAAATTGCAGGACATCCTAAAAACAAGACAAATGAAATTACCTCAAAGTATGCTGAAGTCTGTTGTCACTTAGGTCAAGCATTCCACATTGATGTCTTGGATCTATTTAATGTTATGCTCAGGGAGCAGGTATTGAACACATTAATTTTTACTCCCACAGATACCATGGATGAATATTGATATGTTTAGTGATTTCAATTTCTCAGCTCACATACCTAGCTTCCTTGGCCTATAGGTTTTATAGTGTATACAGCTTTCTTGGTTCATAGGTTTTAGAAAATACAGCTTCCTGGGCACATAGGTTTTAGTGTATACAGCTTCCTTGGCCCATAGGTTTTAGAAAATACAGCTTCCTAGGCACATAGGTTTTAGTGTATACAGCTTCCCTGGCCCATAGGGTTTAGTGCATACAGCTTTCTTGGCCCATAGGTTTTATAGTGTATACAGCTTCCTTGTCCCATAGGTTTTATAGTGTATACAGCTTCCTTGGCCTATAGGTTTTATAGTGTATACAGCTTTCTTGGTTCATAGGTTTTAGAAAATACAGCTTTCTAGGCACATAGGTTTTAGTGTATACAGCTTCCCTGGCCCATAGGGTTTAGTGCATACAGCTTGCTTGGCCCATAGGTTTAGTGTATACAGCTTGGTTGGCCCATAGGTTTAGTGTATACAGCTTCCTTGGCCCATTGGTTTAGTGTATACAGCTTCCTTGGCCCGTATGGTTTAGTGTATACAGCTTCCTTGGCCCATATGCTTTAGTGTATACAGCTTTCTTAGTTCATAGGTTTCAGTGTATACAGCTTCCTTGGCCCATTGGTTTAGTGTATACAGCTCCCTTGGCCCATAGGTTTTAGTTTATACAGCTTCCTTGGCCCATAGATTTTAGTTTATACAGCTTCCTTGGTTTTAGTGTTTAGAAAAAAAAACATGTGCACATGTTCAAAACTTGCATTATGTTTGAAGTTGCTATGTGTATATCTTCACCTATGATCTCATATGGGCAAGTTCAATATTGTGTCTTTCAGAATTGGGAACGATTTCTGCTATCAGACGGTATCCACCTATCAGTGGATGGTGCCAAGTTATTACATCAACATTTGTTGCCAATAGTATTGAAAAAAACAAGTCATTTACCGACAAGATTTCCGCTGTGGAGGGACGTCGATGATATGCATCCGGAGAATTCACTACTACAATAGCGTCTTCGCACAATATGTTTTGTACAACCTTGTTATATGTATTTGACTGTATTCTGGTTTTGTTACACATGTACAACTTCGTTGATTCCCTACATTCTGGGGGAACAACAAGAAGGTTGCAAGTAACTAGTAATCACCATGTAGTTCCAAATTAGTCCAGAATTCTGGGGCTTAATTCATGTGTAAGTGATGTTCTATTCTAACCACTAGCACTTAAATAATATTACGTCCATTAAGTCTACTTACTAGGTTCTAACTATTTTTGTACAAAGCGATAACACACAAAATACACTGTAGACCATTTATTTTTAACAATTTGATGATTTAATGGCAAAATTGAATTTCATGAACATCGACTCATTATCTTTAGAAGCCTAGTGAAATTTTCACTTTTACAAAAAATTCATCAAAATTTGTTATTCAAGAAATTTGACAGTTTTTCTCGCAACTTTTGCATAAAGAATAGTTATTTTCTGTGATGGCAGTTTTATCAGTGATGTGAGAAAAATAGAGCTGACAATGTTGCTATGGTTACTAGTTACTGCCTTCTTGTTGCTAGGTGTGCCATGATGCCATGACAACATGATGCAGCAACCAACCATATACAACATGCATAAATGACAGTTTTTGTGTGTGTCAATGTCATTCATATATTACTATCTGACTGATGATAGGTGGCGCTGTTTGAATATAATCTGTAAATAATGTGGTCATATACCTCCAAATATTTTGGTACATTTTGTATAAAAAGTATTCTGGGAGCTCTCTAATACAGAAAGTTAGTTGTCAACCAATCAGAGAGAATCTTACTGTAACAAACTAGATTATTCAGTAACTGCAGTTTATATTGGTTGTTTGATTGGATATGGGATGTTAGTTATGCCACAAAGAAGGGAAGGGACACTTACATCAGACAGGTTATTATTTTGTTCAATTAGAATTATTGTCAAAGACTGATCCACCTTGAGGTTGTGATACAGCCAATCAAAATAAAATTTGATGTAGGAAAAGTCACTTGACAATATGTCATTTCATATACATACATGTGCATAGTATTAAACTGGTTGGTGAAAATCATTTATTCAGACTCAAAGATAAAATAAAAAAAGATGAAAATGTTAACTGATGATGTCACAGTGCCACTGCTTGGACAATTACTGTTCAGTTGTCTCTCTGATTTAACTAGAGAGTGATCAAGGTCTGTACCATAATTTGATTTTAACGTATTGTGCTACATCGTACCACTTCAATTTCTCAATAATAATACCTCTCTGATTCTAAATTCTACATTTTGTAATATGTCTGCTCACGCTGTTAAATGGCTTGATCCCTTTTGTCAACTTCTTTAAAATCACTTGGCTGTCTGCATTCAGCCTGATGCCCAAATTTATTCATTCATTCTTGAAATATCCATTACATGTACTCGTACATCAAAGTCACATAGGCTCTGCTAGCTGTGGTATTTTCTTTCCATTCTTTCTTTCTCATTAATTTATTAATATTTTCTACCATAATTATAGGTACTAAATGACCATCAACGTGTTGGCCATTATTATAAATGAAATTTAAAACTCTCGGTGCAAAACAGTAGAAGTAATACAAACGTGTTAAAATGTGTTATGAACATCTTACTTTAATGTAAAATAATTTATTTTCGTTTGGAATTAATTTTCGCTATTTTCGCTGAAGGAATGATTCTGTGAAAATAAAATCCAGCAAATATACCGTTTTTGCTATATTTTACATTCAACTCGCCAAAAATCAATGAAAATAAATTCCATACAAAACACCCAAAAAGTCTTTTCAGCAAAAAATTTATTTCAGCTAAAATAATTACACAGTATTTGACAAGCCGGCATCATATTTCTGATGTATTCAAACTTTTTTGGTTTTTAATATCAGATACAGCAACAAGGTAGCATGTAATGGACGTCACTGAATGCAAATGATTTCACAGGCTTATTTTTCATTAGCAAGTCAGGCCATTATATTCCACATTTCACTAAATTATAATTTATCACAAGAGAACTATATGAGATTACACAAAATATGCATGAATGCATATGGTGATCATTTCAACTATTTTGTAACAAAGGTTGATGTGATCCAGTACTGCCTGATTGCATACTTTCTGATATTTTCGTGAACCTAAATTATTATACATCTTTTTCTACTTACTGTCATAATTTGATGATTGATAACAGCCACAAATGCCAGCTAAAAACATTTTTTTGAGTTTTGTGTTTACCCAATTGACTGCATTCAGTGAGGTGTTTTGTTTCCAGTCATCGGCAACTCTTTCTGTCAACAAAAGAAAATGTTCAAATCTAGAGACTTGATAATTTGATGGTATCCATGGTGACAAAACTACATGAAAGTCACTGCAAAATGTCAAGGTTTTGCCTGACTCGTGTAGTTCACAAAAAATGTTGTCTCCCAGCAAAACCATTTTTTGTACTGTAGTTAATCATTAAGTTTTTAAAAATACCATTATTTACAAAGTATATATTGATTGTGACCAACCGGTGAAGAAAATATAATATACCTTACTTGTCTGAGATGAGAAATTGAAATTAAATGTATGGAATCAGTGACTTTCTATTCACTGTTATGTTTTTTATGATTTGTATTCAGATTTGTTTATCATCTACAGTATTTGCTCTATTAAAAGCTGATGTACGTGTATATATATATATATATAAATGATAGAGGTGAGTCTAATCAGAGTAAGAATCATTTCAGCAATTTACATAAAGTTTATATTTTTTGTTATTGGAGATGCGCTTCTAATAGAGTAATTACAGTATATGTAGAATCTTTTTACTTTATCTATTTCAAGAGAATAGAATGGACACTTCATCACACTAGTATTCAGATAAGGGTAAATGTTACTAAGATATGCAATGAATATCCCATTTCATGTCAATTGCATGTACAACAATGAAATCAATAGACACTTGAAAAGTTTGATTTTAGGTATAAAAATAAGTAAGGTAATTGTCCTATCCAAAACAGACAAAAACATATAATACAGTGTATATGCTTTGCGAATACGCAGAAACACTTAAAGACAACCTGAAACAAACACCTTTAATTTCGTTCGTACACTCATTTGCATAATGTTTCAGAAATATATGTTTGTTGTGCGATGAGTGAACATCTTGCATTTCACACGACTTTTAATGGGTCTCCATCGCATATCACACCAGTTGCATACCCATATAAATGTTAACACATCAACTGTTTGAAGGCTCTGCGGATAGCCAATATCTGATGTATAAAAAAAGCTCCAATGGGCATAGTTTAGAACACAGAATTTCATTCCCGAAACATCTTTTCTGACAGAGTCTGTAGAATATAACAGCTTTACTAATGCCACCTTGATATCGAGATTTTATTGTAATATACCTAGACTTGCTTGCAGTCTGATGTAATTTCGTTGAAAAATTCTTGAAAAATAAATATAAATTGCGTAAACGAGGGTGAACGCGAAATCCCAGGACCTTTGCGTTCATTTATGCAATTTATATTTATTTTTCAAGAATTTTTCAGCAGAATTGCAACATACTGTAGAATACTTTATTTTCGCTTGGAATTTATTTTCGCTATTTTCGCTGAAGGGATGATTCCGTGAAAATAAAATCCAGCGAATATACATTTTTTCCTATATTTTACATTAATATCAACAAAAATCAGTGAAAATAAATTCCAAGCAAAACGCCCAAAATACCTTTTCAGCGAAAATTTATTCCAGCGAAATTAAAGTATTCCACAGTACTGCAAGCAAGTCCAATATACAATGTCCAATCATGCAATATAATAATAATAATAATAATACATTGTGATTACATGAAATTATGTAATGTTTTAAATTGAATTAAATATATACCAATACATAATTTGATTAAATTAAGATCCTAGTTTGGGATATTTTTTTTTTCTTTTCATTTTTTCAAATATAATTTTTTTATTTAATAAATAATTTTATAAATAAACTATAAATTATATTTGAAAAAAATTAAGGAAAAAAATGCCCAAGCTAGGATCTTAATTTAATCAAATTATGTATTGGTATATATTTGATTTGATGCATTATTTTCTAAATTTCAACAACACACTGATGATCCATTCTACTGTAATTTTTCAATTATACAACACTTTTCATGCGGTAGTCATGCAGGTCATATTACAAATTTTTGAAAACAATTGCTTCACACACATTGTATTTGTTGCTATGAGGCTCTTATCAAACACAATGAGATGTGATGACCACCGTCCTTCAAGAGTTTTGACATTATGCTAATTTTAAAACTACATTTACCTCTGATATATATTGTTGTTATATGTTGTATCTTTCGTGCTTGTACTTAATCTGGTGTGATATTTATGTAAATGTTTTATCTTAAACTATGTAGTGTATATTTGCATTGTCGTAATCCATACTTGAGAAATATCCTTTTCAGCCGACTAGGATCTACTCACAAAAACAAAGTAATTAAACATTCTTATTGTATGTCTGGTATGGCAATATTGTGCTAAATATAGCAATACAATTTTGAAACCTTGGTATGTAACATGATTTCTGATTGGTTACTTATCAAACCAGTCCTAAACTTAATTTGCATATGTAATTGGTAAGGTGAATTTGGAGGCACTGTTCTCTGGTGACCGGAAAAAACAACAAAAAACCTGGCTCCTCAACCTACATCAAATCTGAATGATATGCGTAGTCCAGTTACAACTGTAAAATTTGTATTATAAGCTTCATTCCTAATAGAAGTCACATCCGTTATTTTTGAATAATTGAAAACCAAAAATTCATGTGTTGATGCTCTAATTAAGCCACATCTTCTCTGTTGCATTGTACAATTTTAATAGAAGCCACGGTTTCTAATACAGATTTTACAGTAGTATTCAATTTTGCTGCTCAGCATACTGGGGTAGTGTTTTTTTCATATCTTTATCAATGTCCTAAATCCACAATGAATCTATACTTAATAAGCATCAGATTGGCTTTGACTCAAACTACTGACTGGGCCTGAGTATTACAATCTTGAATCTATATATTACGAGGTCTCAGGGGCGTCAACAAGAAACACACAGGCTGGATACAGAACTCATCTATTGATTCTAATTTTGGCTATCAGCTGGAGATCACATGATGTCAATTCCCTGTGTACAGCGTTTAAACTAGCCAATTTGACTTTCCATGGATGTGGTAAATCCGACCCACAGTCTGTGATGTTTGAATTGATTAATACTGTTTAACTTTTTTATTTTAGCTGGAATTTAGTTTCGCTGAATAGACTTTTTGGGGATGTTTTGTATGGAATTTATTTTCACTTATTTTTGAAGAGTGGAATTTGAAATATATAAAAAAAGTATATTCGCTGGATTTTATTTTTCCTTCAGAGCGAAAATAGCGAAAATTAATTCCAAGCGAAAATAAAGTATTCTACAGTATGATAATATGACCAGGTGTTTATTGTAAAGATAACAATTAAATAACCTTTAAATAAATTTGCATGGCTAACGAACAAATTGGCTATCCATGGGAGGAATTTATTGTTGAAGTGTCAATATGAGATCTTTGAATAAATTTGCATAATAATAAGACAATCATTTGCATTGAAGAGGTCTCTGATACCTTGCCAATTGCCTGTAACATTTTGTGTATGAACTCACCTGTAAGGATTCTGTAACTAGCAGTTTGTGTCAGGCTAATTTACCTGTATACTCCCAGAGAAAGAGAAAAAGCAAAAAATGGGTAATTTGATGTGAAGATGCAATCCTGGGGGTTTAAAACAAATCCTTCAAAATCAGGCATACTATTGCAAGATTGATTATTAGCTGGGTTTTGTATTTATTTATTCTGGCATTTCAAGTATGATACACTAAATTAAAACCAAGGGAAGACTTAAAGTTAACCATATGTACAATGTATTATGTCCTTCACAAACCAGTGATTTCAAAACCACTGCATATTGATGCAATATCTGCTGAAATTAACCCCAGTGAAAATTTATTTAAAGTCTTAAATTTATTTATAAATAAAAATAGCTGCTTTTGTACAAACTATGTGATGTGTATTTTGACAAGTATTGAAGTATAAGTTTTATGTGCTAAATAATTTTTTTGGGGAAAATAATTGTAATTCCGAAAGATATATGTAATAAGACGAATGTAACAATAATTTAAGGTTACAGGGTATGATATTCTTGAAAGATTTAACAATACCCAGATTTTATTTAGAAATGTTTTTTGAGCTTTGTTATATACTTTCCAATAATTTTGTTTGTAATGTAATTTGAGTACGTGATGTGGTGTCTATAATTTATGCGTTCTGCTCGTATGCCAGTAATGTCTGTAATCAATGATGCTTGGAATACATCATTTGTCAGGTATTGATTATAGATTTGATTGATTAGTTGAAAATATCAATCTAAATATTGTCAATTATCCCAAATCACATGATTATAATTTTACAGTGGACGCCGAAATAAACTGACCATGGAAACCGCTATCTCCTTTACAACATTGTAATATCCCTCGAATAATTCTAAGTAATGTTTGTTTCAATTTTGCACTCTGTTAATGGAAATTGGAATATCTAAATATATAAAGTACTACTATTAAAGTTTTACAGCAGTGTTCAAATTTGAAATTTAATTTTATGACTACTTAGTAATTCATTGTGTCAAGTGTAGAATGTTCTGATGCAAAAAATTTCGTAATATTTCACGCAATTCCTTCAATTGAAATCTGATTGTAAACTACTCTTGCCAACAAACATCCCCTGAAAAACAACCATCCCCTGAAAAACAACCATCCACAGGCAACATCTGCAAAATGATTCAGAACTAGAGCAAGTCAACAGTTGAGATTTGAATACAGATGTCTCATGATATTCAGCCATACTTATAGTATGAATTTTCATTCTCAGTGTAACATGTGGGTGAAACAAAAAATTTAAAAAAAGTTTTTTCTGTTTATATTTTTAGGAATACGCCAAATCAAATTGATATCCCAGACTGGTTTTCATGATCAGTTTATATCGCTTCCTGCTGTAAACATAACCAGTGAGCGAAGAATTGTATTTCTAGAGATGCATAAATCTGAATAGGTAATGAGATATTACTAGCATTGTATCTAGGCATATAGTGAGTGGAATGTCACATAGATGTCTATGGCATCCCATAGTGTGTCATGTTTGCATAAATCTGAATGGGTAATTTGATATTGTACCGTGGAGCGGGCTGGTTCCCGGCGTTCTGATAAGCTATCGAACGTTTACACGGCATAAACAATCTCTTTATGCAGACGAAATTGGAACGTTCTTACACCAAAACGCATAGGTTTCTAAGGTAACGATGGAACTCAAAACTTGTTTATTAACATACGGTAATTGTCGCCTCATTGATCATCTGTGATCTGTGATGCACTCACCCCTGGCTCTCTACC